TTTCCCCTCTTTTAATTTTCTCAACTTTGTTTTAATTATCTCATCTCAATTCAAATCATTATATTTATACTTTTGTCTGTCCTGTTTCAATTTCACATTATCTTTTCTTATTAAGCAAATTTTTCCCTGTAGTTACCAATTAGAGTATAACACCTTTATATCCTTTAATTTTATCCATTCAAACTCTTATTTAAGCTTCAATGTATACCTTTAAGATTATAGCATTCAATATAATACATAACTTCAAATCGAGTTCTGCTTGGTACATTCTTAAAATAGAGACTATATTCTTTTAAAAAAAATTATATATATATGTAAATAAAACACACATTCCATTCCAATTCAATTCTATCATTAATATGCATTAAAATCTTAACATCTTTAACATTTCTTTTCAATTAAATATCATACTTCCTTGGGAACACTTATAAACTTTCCATAGTTAATTATTTTATTTCCATATTTCTCACTTATATTTTTATAAATCATTACTAATAATTAAAAATGTTCCCTTTTAATTCTCTCAATCATTTTAATTCATTTATTTATTAACAAACATCCCACTACATTACAGTAAATATTTTATCTATCATCATATTTTCTAAAATTATTTCTATTTGTAATATAACAATGTTATCTTATGTACCTTTGCAGAATCCCTTTTGCAATTAAATTTTCACCCATTATCTCTAAACAAGCTTATGGTTACAATCCTTATATCTTTTATCTGTTTCTCCATTTCTTGTTTCTGTTTTTTACAACTTCTTTTCCTTGCCTTCTTCCCCCTCCCCTTTTTACCCCCTCGTCTCTCTACTTCTAACTCTCTCATCTGTAATCCCCTCTTCTGTTGCTTTCTAATATTATACTTATCTTTCAAATTGTTCTTCTTTTTGGTTGTTTTTTCTAGTCTTAAACCTTTCACTCTCTTTCCCCCCTTTTCTTCCCCCCCCCCACTTAAAATTATTTGATCATTAAAGATGGCTTCTTCTTTGTCCCAATCTTCTTGTTCTGCAAGTGTTTCTTGTTGCTTCTCATAGTTCCAGATCTCCATTTCTAAGAATTGAAACACGAAGCCAAAATAACTTCTCCCTTCTTGTGCATCTTCTTTCCATTTTTAAAGTTCCGTTTTCAGTTCTTTCTCTTCCTGGGGTTCTATTATTTTGTTACCAAGTTTCAATTAAAATGTATCTTTGAGGAATCTTGTTAAAATTTCACTGTAAGTTCCTTTTAATTACAGTTCCATTCCTTAATTCCAGGCAGTCTCCTCCCTTCCAGATCCTGCCCTTTTATTCTTTTTCTCTCCTTTCCTGTTTTCAAAAGCTTTTGATTATCCAGAAATCTTTATTATCCCTTTGACTTTTTATTTTCAGCATTAAATGCCTATTAATGTCAAAGTGGATTTTTTTCCAATTTCTTACTTAAGTCTCTTAGCTGTCAGTATAGGAAAAGGAGAAAAAAACCCCAAATCTTTTCCCTTTTCTCTCTCCTTCGCAGCTTAAAAATTTTCTTTGGGAATAATGTTATTGGTTTTTTTTTAATAGTTTCAATTCCAGAGTACCTTATTTGTTGCTTTTGCTGTTTGACCCGGTCAACCAAAACTTTCTCTTCTTATCTTCCTCCTGCACATTCTTTTCCGGTTGAGTTCTTCTTTGTGGTGGCCATTTCTGACCACTGCTACAACCGCCTTCGGGAAAGGGAGTAATGGCCAGCTGGGGAGGAGAGATGCGGCTCTCCTCAACCCTGCAGGCAGTCTCCCCCCTCTTCACCACCTCTACGGGGTGGCTTAGCCCCAAAACCAGCCGGCTCTGGGCGCTCCAGCGGCGAGCACGGATCAAAGCCTCGGAGAGACGAGGTTTCGGTCTGTCGCCGAAGAAGCTCAAACCAGAAGTCCATATTCTTTTAATTTAGACAAATTTGAATATTCTCTTTCAATATTATCATATATTTACTGAACAGTACTAAACATAATACTGATTCAATATTTTAATTAACTTGGCATAATTGTTTTCACAGGACTATTTTTTGAATGTGGTTTTGATAAAGAAAAATGAGATAAATTAAGATAAAACCTGTAACACACAATTGGTATTTGTGACAGAATAAGAAACTGTTCAGAACCATAATATCAAAAAATTGTTATGGAATCAATAAACCAGAATTTGACAATATTTATTTATTTATTTGTTTGAAAGCCCTTCTTCTAGGTCCCACCAGGTGTATCTCCCTCAGGGGTGGGACCCACATCATTCCCTGCCTCCTCGCTCTAATGGACGGGTAGATGTTACTGGCAAGAGATGTTTCCTCAGACAACTCAGACCCAAGCCATGAAGGGATTTAAAGGTGACAACCAGCACCCTGAATTGCACCTGGAAGCAAATTGGCAACCAATGCAGCTCCTGCAGGAGAGGTGATACATGTGCATACTGGGGTCTGCATAAAACCATGCGGGCCACTGCATTTTGCACCAACTGGAGCTTCCAGATGCTCTTCAAGGGCAGCCCCATGTAGAGCGCGTTGCAATAATCAAGATGGGAAGTAACCAGGGCATGAGTGACTGTGAGTAGGGACCGCTGATCCAGGAAAGGGCGTAACTGATGCACAACCCGCAGTTGTGCAAAGGCCCTCCTGGCCACGACCACCACCTGCTCTTTGAACAGGGTCGTGAGTTCAGGAAAACCCCTAGATTACACACAGGGTCTGTTTGGGGTAGTCCAACCCCATCCAAGACTAAGAGTGGTAATTCTCCCTGAACCAACAAACCCCAGACCCAAAGCCACTTGGTCTTGCAAGGGTTTAGTTTCAACCCATTGCTCCCCATCCAGCCCCTAACAGCCTTCAGGCACTGTGAGAGGGAGGACACAGCAACACTTAATTCACCATGGGCCAAGACATACAGCTGAGTATCATCAGCATATTGGTGATACCTCAGTCCATGGAGACGGATGATCTCACCCAGCAGTTTCATATAAATGTTGAACAGGAGCGGAGAGAGTACCGAGCCCTGCGGAACTCCATAAAGCAGTGGGCGAGGGTTGGATCTCTCCCCTCCTATCAACACTGACTGAGAGCGGCCGCAGAGGAAGGAAGTGAACCAAGACAGCACAAGGCTTCCCACTCCCATCCCCTGAAGCCGTCCCAGGAGAATCCCATGGTCAATGGTATCAAAAGCCGCTGAGAGGTCAAGTAGAGCAAGGATGGATGCACTACCCCCATCCCGCTCCCACCAGAGATCATCTAAAAGTGCAACCACTGCTGTTTTTGTCCCAAATCCAGGTCTGAATCCTGACTGTTGCTCCTGGTAGGGGTCGACTGGTAGGGGTTGAGATAACCCATTTCATCCAGAAACCTCTGGAGCTGCTGTGCGACCACCTTCTCAACAACCTTCCCCAAAAAGGGAAGATTGGAGACAGGTCGGAAATTATCCAACTGGGTGGAGTCCAGCAATGGGTTCTTAAGAAGAGGGCGGACCACAGATTCCTTAAGTGCTGGGGCACTATCCCCTCCTGTAGAGAAGCATTAATCACCGCCAAAGTTCACCCGCCTGTCACCTCCTGGGAAGCTTTAACAAGCCAGGAGGGACATGGGTCTAAAATACAGGTGCTCGCGCTCATACACCCTAGGATCCTGTCTACTTCCTCAAGAACAACAGGGTCAAACCGTTCCCAGATAACAGGGCAAGAACCTGCCTCAGAAGCTTCCACCGGATCAGCAACCACGCCGGCATCTAACTGGGAACAAAGTCAAGCGATTTTGTCTTCCAGAAAATCCACAAATTCCTCAGCGCATCCCTTCAGGTGAACCTCAATCTCCTCCTTCCCTAAGAGGAGACAGCTCACCTTAAAGAGGGTCGCTGGGCGATTATCTGCAGACGCAATTAGTGTGGAGAAGTATTTACACTTTGCCTCACGAATCGCCACAAGGTAGGCCTTAGTAGCAGCAATTTATCTTCAGAAGGGATAATCTGGACATCATGCCTTTGTGCAACTCTACCAAGGGTAAACATAAAGATTTGAATCACCTCTTTTTCCTTTGATTTATTAAATATATCCACACATTAAATACAAAAACTAACATTACAGCATAGAATCTCATGGATATCCCCATATTTGCACCATTCAGGCAAAAGCAGTTTAAATGAATTTCTTTCAGAAGTTGTTAAAGTAGAATTATATATCTGTGCGACTTTCAGCTGAACTTACTATATCCGTGATGGTGAACCTATGCATGTGTGCCGGAAATGGCAGCAGAGCCATTTCTCCAGGCACACCAGCCGTCGCCCGTTGCTCTTCTGGATTCCGGCGCATGCATGTGTGCTAGCCAGCTGCTTTTTGTGTATGGAACGCCGGAAAATGGAAGAGCAGCTGAACTTCCAGTTTCTGGAGCGCACGCTGGTCTTTGCACGTACACACATGCCTGGAAACTGGAAGACCAGGTGGCCAGCGTGCATGTGCACACCGGAAAGCAGAAGCTCAGTTTCCTGGTACACACATGCGCGCCAGGAAACTGCTCTTCCAGTTTCCGGTGCTCCCCATGCGCATGCTCCCATTTCAGCACTCGGTGCCAAAAAGGTTTGTCAATACTGTACTAGATAGCTTAAAGGTTTGTCAATACTGTACTAGATAGCTTAGCGTGAAATGATCATCTGGGTACATTAATCTCTGTATCAGTCTATTTTTATTTCTGAAATGCAACAGTCATTGATCACATTTAGATAAATGTTAGTTCAAAGTGATTTTATTCTCGAATCCACTTTTATTGGTTAGAAAGAAAACATAATGAATCATGTTAAATATATATCATTCTAAAAATATTTGGCATCAAAATTCCATTAGCATATTTATTCAGTGGCAATTTTGGAATTTCTAAAGGAGAGACAAAACTTTTTGTTGTTGTTCTTGTTTTTACTCAAACTATTTTAGCAGGACATTTAAACAACCTCACGAAAGCTACTATCCTTTTTTCTAACCTGGGTGCACATAAATGTATATTAAACAACTTACCTGACAAAAGCATAGGTTGGTGACAGTCTAGGTCTGTGTTTAGAGACATACGACCACCTTTTGCCAGTCTATCGAAGAGTAAAGTTATGTGCTTCTTCAATCTATTAGTATCCTTGGGGATACATAATTGATTAAAAAGTGTAAGAGCATGGTCTTTAGAATTCTTGGACAGACATGTTTTTAACAAATGAGAGATAGAAGCATCCACAGTTTCTTCCCAACCCTGCAAAAGAATCAGAAAAATATTTATAAATTAGACATGATTTACATAATGAATTTAGTTTATTGCATTGGATAAAAGAAAATTAAACTTAGCAAAATAAAAAACAAGGAAATACATACACAGAACCCTTAAATATTCAAATTCAATTAACTAACACTTTTAAAATGCTTGTGTGTCTAATTACACTTGGCCAAATAAAGTATTCAATTCAATTCAATTCAGTTTAATAATACTGATTTTGCTGTTTTTCTTGGTAAACTGTTTTTTTCCTTCTTTTTATGGGAATTTTTTGACATAAATAAGAGTACATTTGATTCACACATTAACATATAATTCTATTGCATTAGCAGACATTAGGATATATTTTACCTGGCTAATTTTTTCTTCTGTTTTCAAAATGAAATTCTGTAACTGTCAAACTATTTAGAGCACAAGTTCTTTGCTTCCTCCAATATGAGGCATAGCTCTTCCTATAATATATGGATCCAAACATCCTAAAAGCAATATAATCTAAAAATATATGAACTCTGATTCATGTTTCCTTTACACTACATTATTTGAAGTTTGCCTTTATCTCTGTGGGACAATTTACCATGTCAAGTACTGGCTAAAACTAATTTTCATAGATGGTTTAATAGATTTATTTTCTTTGTGGAAAAAATACTGAAGTCAATGCTCCATGGTCTTTCATTTCAATCCTTGATAATTCCAAGTCCCCCAAAACCCCTTATAGAGTTTATTTGAGCCTACAGAAGAGACTTAAGTCCTTCAATCTTTAAAACAAAAGTCTATTCTGTAGACTATTCTCTAAATGAGGAGTGTCAAACTCAAGGCCCTAGAAACAGCAAAGGACTGGTCCAGTGGGCCTCAACCCAGCCTCAGGTTAACCGGGCACTGATCTGCAACCTGATGGCATCCCTCCAGGCTGGACTGCAGCCAGTCTTAAATCCACACTGCTGTCCCAGCCCCACCCCTTGGCTGCGGGATCTAAGTCTGGTTGCGGTCTGGACCAGATGGATGCCACCAGATTGCAGATCAGCACCACACTTGCACCTCCATGTCCTGCTCCCCATCCTTTCACTTGTGTTTGTGTCTGCGTATGTGATGGGAAGTGTCTGGCAGCAGGGTTTCCGCAGCCCACTGCAACCACTGGCTGGTCCTCTAAGAAGCAGGTGTAATGGCAGCATTGGCACTCGCAGCAGGCAGAGTCAGAGGGAAGGCATGTGATGCAGATCACCAGATGTGCCTGCTCCATCTCATGTGGTTGGGATGGGGCAAGTGGCTGCACAGCACTTCCAGTAGGCTGGACCACATACCTGCCCCCTGTGCCTCTGCCTCTGGCTACTGCTGCAGCTGCGGGTCAAGACAAGGTGAAGCAGAGTGTGGGGTGGCTGCTGCTGGACACCATCGGTCCAACTACTCCATCCTATTTGTCTTTGCTTGTAGTTGGAGAGCAGGTAACAACTGGTCATCACCTCATCCCCCTCACAGGTCTTGCTCTTGACCCACACATGGAGTACGTTCATTTTGCACATGCAATGCACCTCAGCACGACTGTGGGTTGCTGCCACCAACGAAGCCTGTAGCAGCTTGTGTAGGTCCATTAGGCCACTGCCATCATCATCCGGAGCACCAGGCCCACCCAGCCCAAAGGAGACAAAGAGGCAAGCTAAAAAGGCTGAGTAGAGATGGTAGAGCATGCACAAGCCAGTAGGTAAAAGGCAAGAGGGGAAAGCTGGATCCCTATTGGCACCATGGCCACTCAGGCCCAGTCAGGATCGCTGGCCTCACTTCCCCATCTCTGTTGGGCGTGGGCAGCCATGGCAATGATGGTGATCTGGCTTTCCCCACTTGAAGTGGCTGTCTTTTACCTACTGGGAATGGGCATGCTCTATCACCTCTACTTGGCCTTTCCAGATGGCTGCTTCACCTCCTTCAGGCTGGGTGGGTCTGTTGAGTGGTAATGGCAGCAGCCCGCAGTGGGGCCAAGGTGTATCAGGTGTACGAGGGGAATGTGCTCCATGCATAGGCCAAGGGCAAGATCTGTGAGGGGGCTGAGAAGATGAGCAGCAGTGAACTCCTCTCCAACTGTAAGCAAAAACAGACAGTGGGACAGAGTGTGGCTGCAGCCGAAAACCATTGTCCCCGAGCAAAAAGAATAGCAAGCACACAATGGCCCATAGTCTCTGGCTGCAGCTGCCCCACCCCCTGCCTCACTTCAACTCATCCCACGGGACAAGTCTCCCACCCCATCCTCCAGAGACCCCTTGGGGAATTCCCTCCCCAACCCCACCCGGCCCCCATAGCCACGTCCCATGCAAGCGACATCGAGGTGGTCATACACCTATACACTGGCCTATACCCAGTTGGCCGCAATTACCCCTGCCATGCCCCCAGAGGACAACTGCAATGCTAATCTAATCATCAATGAAATCAAGTTTGACACCCCTGCTCTAAACCAAATATCTTTTTAAATTATTTCTGTTCTTGTAGGAAAACCTATCTTTGCAGTCCAGAAAAGTTGAACATTTTACTTTCAAAAATATTGGAAGGAAATTAGAATAATAGCCTTTTCAGAATATTTATGTTCATGCTTGGATGATGCTACAATCACTTGTATGCTGTACTTTTTATGTGAGCAGGCAATCTAATATAATATTTTCACCATCACCCCTTAACAACTGGTTGGGCTCACCTACAAAGGAGGTTGTGTATTATTTTATTACGAAAATCAGTCCACTGATAGATATAACTAAATTCTATTCCATTGCAATTGCTGTCAGAAAGTGTTTGATCTAGTGACCTTTTTATGAATCCCTTACATTCTTCTTTCTTGTTGTCAGTGTTCTTAGTCACACATCCAAAAAAATCAGAACTTTGAGGCAAGCAGAACATTCAAATAACATGTTTATTGGATGCATTATATCGGCACAGCTAGTGAAAACCAACTCTAAAGTTTCCCATGTTAATAGCATAATTAAAAGAGTGATTATTTCCCTTCCCAAGTGTCCCAAGTCACATTGTCCAATTAAAACAGTCAGCAGGCTCCCTGGTCACTCCTCTCCTCCTTCAGCTGTCACCTGTTGGAAGGCTCATTTTTTTTCTGTGTGAAAGTCCACCTATTTCCTCCTACTTCAGAAAAAACCTTCGGGTTTTTCTGAAGGAGTACTGCAGCCACTGTGACATCGCTGGTATCTGCCTGGATGACAAAAGGCTTCTCTGGATCAGAGTGTCTTAGGACTGGTTGTTGGGCAAATAGTCTTTTAAATGTTTCAAAAGACTTTTGGCATTCCAGAGGCCATTGTAAGAGTTGACTTGGTCAGGGTTTTACTCCCCCTCTCCCATTTTCAGTAGCTCAGTGATTGGGAGGGTGATTTCTGGAAAGGGTGGTATGAATTGCTAGTAAAAGTTTGCAAAGCCAAGGAAGTTTTAGAGTTGTTTGCAGGTCTGCGGGGGTTACCACTCTAGGATGGCTCTAACTTTTCCTGGGTCCATTTCAACCACCTCATTGGAGACCCAATATCCCAAATAGTTTAGGCTGGTTTTATGGAACTTGCATTTGGATAGCTTCAGAAGTGGCATTCAGCAGGTTCTGACTAGTTCTGGAGAACCGGTAGTGGAAATTTTGAGTAGTTTGGAGAACCGGCAAATACCACCTCTGACTGAGATTTTACAATATCCTTCCCCTGTCATACCCACCAAGCCATGCCCACAGAACTGGTAGTAAAAAAATAATAATCGCACCACTGGATAGCTTGGCATATAGGTTTGCGGCTAGAAGTTTTCTGAGTACTTGGTGAACCAATTTAGCATGTCCCCCACTTGTCTACACAAGACAGTTCTAGGATTATTGCTGCCATCATTTTGGCGTCACTACAAACCAGATAATTTCCCAGTGCCGGCCCATTTCCAACTGCACTGGTTCAGTAAGGAGCATGGCACGAGCTCTTCTTATCAGTGTTTGGTCGACCTGTTCAAATCTCACGGGCCACGGTAGTTTTTTAGCTTTGATGCCACCTGTCTGCCAGCTGAATACAGCCTGAGTCTATTAAAGTGTCCACCTCACCCTGGACCCAAATTGGGTGCCATGATTTTCACAGGGATGGCGAAGGGGCAGATAGTTTCACTTGCCATTGAGTTATCTTCTCTCTGGTTATGGTCACAGCTTGCCGACCATCCTCCAAAATTCTCAGACGTATTCTTTGGCTGGTCTGACCCTATGTCTGGTCTCACTGATTTCTGTCTAAGCCTGCAGAGCTTGGGAGTCATCTTCAAACTGGGTCCTTAGTTCCTGCAGGAAGGTGTCAATGTTTCCCGGCTCTGGTGCAGCCTCGTCATGGAGCTGTGTCACCCATTCTGTTGCCTCTCCCTCTAAGTTGGCAGCCACCATACAAATCATTGCCTGGTCATTAGGGTAGACTGGTGTATGGCCGTTTAGGTGGGCCCATGCCTGGGTCAGGAAGAATGCAAGCTTCTCTGGGTCCCCATTGAACAGGGCCTTCAAGGGATGAGGAATTGTCAACCTTGGAGGAAAAGGAGGAGGAGGCTGGGGGGATAGCATCCAGATAGATAGCCATTGCCCTTGGACTCAGCTGGCTCTGATTTAGTATGGCCAGGGCTCAGGATCCGGCCATCCCGGAGGGCTCTGCTGGTCAGGTTCGCCATACGGCGATGGCATGGAGGGCTCTGCTATGATCCTGGCCTTAATCTTCCTGTCAGCCTGGGAGGCCTCACCCCTGCGATTGGGCTCAGGCTGCGGTGGGGTGGAAACAGCAGGTTAGCTCGGCTCAGGATTATACCAGGTGGTTTAAACCTACACGTCTGAAGTGGTGGTCAGAAATGGCCACCACAAAGAAGAACTCGACCGGAAAAGAATGTGCAGGAGAAAGATAAGAAGAGAAAGTTTTGGTTGACCGGGTCAAACAGCAAAAGCAACAAATAAGGTACCCTGGAATTGAAACTATTAAAAAAAACACAATAACATTGTTCCCTAAGAAGAT